CACACGTAACTTACAGACACAAGAAGATATTGTTTTGCTCTTACTCATTAGTTTCTGAAGAAATAACGTTCTAAAATGTTATATTTTGTGTGTAAAATGATAAAAAAATGTGGTGGTGTAATTTGCACACTCTACACATTCACATAAAAAGAGAAGTCTTCTTTACACAAAGAATAAAATGTAGTATTCTAGTTCACTATCTTTCTGTGAGTTCATAAGAAGTGTAAGGTTTTCTTTACACAAGGAATAAAATGTAAGTGTTGTTTTCTTCCAATTGTGCCTACATAGTAGTATTATCTCAAGCACAGTTCATGTGTTAGTTAAGCTATTGCTGAATTATTAAATACTAGAAGCTATTCATGCTGACTAAAAATACAACTATGTTGAGACTGACTAAGCTTTGATCACAAAGACACATCGTATACTTCAGAAATTTCCCAAATAAAATTGTATTTGACATGCAGTATTTCACTAATTAAAAACTTTATTGCAAAGGTAAGGTGAATGGTGGATAGCATGTTAATCACAAGGATGCTTAAAAAAACTATTACCACAACTATTGTAGATAGGGTTTATTGATCACGAGACCAAATCGGCATTTAGAATTATTATACTCTGTACTGATAGAGATCATTAAGATCTCGCTAGAGAGCATGCGCATAGACCAGAACAGGACTTATTATCAAACACTTTCCTTAACTGAGGGAATGATTCGAGTAATACTGTTTTGTTCTCCATTAATTGGAAATTCAATCCAGATTAACGTACAGATAAGTCATTTTTCTATCTACGTCGTTAGTACATCACATTATATGGTTTGAATTCAACCACAGAACTAAAATTTTACTAAACGTCATATCTATATCGAAAGTCCTAATTTATCTTTAATAGATCTTAACTAATGAATGCAATGTTCCTTGAAGGGATGACGATTCGGAGCTGTAATCATTATAGAATGTTTCTACTCTCGTCAAACTAAAAAATTATCAGACTACAAATGTGTCTTACTTATTTAAGTGAAGAAGAAGAAATATCCAAAAATTGTAGGATCGTTAAAAGTCGACGTTAACGAATAAAATGTGTGCAAGCGAATAATATTCAAATTAAAGAGTAGAGTGATTGTTGCCTATGGTTACCTGTAATTCAAACAATTCTTCGGGGAAATTAGCATACAGAAGTCTTGCACATATATGTTGAAGATTTGTTAGAATTACTAAAGCTGCATATTGATAACTCAGACATTACATATCTATTAGTTTGACTCGAAGTGTCAAAATCTCAACTGATCTGCACTTTGTAAGTGTTGTGGATAGAATATGCAAGAATGTTTACCGGTTTTAAACGGTCAACATGTTGTTATAGAAGAAACATACAAATATATTATCGTTTAAAACGCACAACTAGCCTCACTTTGTTCAAACTGTGTGGTAATGCT